TTTATTATTTTGTTCTCTGGAACCACTTCAACAGGATACGCTATCCTTATACAAATATTTACTAAAAATACACGGGCAGCGTCTGATCCGTAGAGATTTTTTAAAATAAGTTAGACATCGAAGACGATCTAGTATTCATGCGTACCTTTACGTTGCTGACCACATCGACCTAGTGATCAGAGCTTTCCTGACAAATATTCTAAAATAGGAAAATGGGCTTTTTGTAATTATTTTCATTTCAACCGTTATGACTCCATCCTTTATATGCAATTATCGTCACAATCATTCAAATAAAAATTACAGTTTAAAAACTAATGTAAAAAATAGTTTTGATTATTACCTCGATGTAAATAAATTATTTCAGTTCAAACGCGATAAGCACTACTCGAAATCAGTGAAAATTACATTAAAAGATTATCTTAATTTGATAGATACATACATATAGGTCAAGCTAATGAAAACGTGTTACGTTTTCATTTTAATAGTTAGTTAATTATTAGTATCTAAGATAAAAAAAACATTCATTACTATTTTAAAGAGCACGCAGTTTTTAAGGAAAGACGTACAGAAATTTTCAAAATTTTATAATAAAAAATTTGAGGCAATCTTGTCGTTTGTAACTTAGACCATGATTTGCACTGAATATGATAAGGTACAATCGTAAAAAATCATTTAAATAAAAAAAGAACTTACTGCACACAAACTAAATTATTTTACTTCGTGAGTCATTTAAATTCCCATCGAATACCACAACATTTTTCTGTTTTATTTTACTATAATAATTATCATTAAATTAAAAAATTACAAAAAATGTTTCAAGTCTAATTTGAATTTAATATTACCTTTGATAACATTAAAAATGCCAACAAAAGAAAAGGCGCAATGCTTGAAACTCGGATCAGTTGTTGGAAGTGTCAACGCAGACGATTTGTACTGTGGTCTAGTGAGTATTTTGATACGTTACTTTGATCTTTGATATGTTTATTGTTCGGTCGCGATAATAATTAAATCTAACTCATATTAAGACATTTGTTAACCGCACCCACCATCCAAAATTGTCTTATAGCAACGAAAAAGACGTGTACAGAAGTTTAATTGATTTCCGAAAATTTAAAGTACACACTTTTGGCACATTCCTTTACAAGATGACGTGGATCATTTGACTCTGCACAATGGGCCATTGCCGTTTTATGTGTTACGCTTGCAGCTCTACTTTGAGCAAACTTTTGTCGATGGTATTCGTTTTTCGATTCGATGCCTCAAACCAATATCAAACAAAACTAACTAGAAAAAAAGCTGTCCAAGTGCGAGTCGGACTTGCGGGTGAAGGGTCCCATACCTAGTATGTGATTATATTCGTATGGGCACCCATAAAATTCAGAGACGCAGAACTCAGAGTACCTTAATTGGCGTGTTTTTTGAATTTTTTTATTTTCTTCAATTGTGCTATAATACCTTGCTTTTTGCCAAATTTTGTGATTCTAAGTCAACGGGAGCTACCATATAGGTTTCAACACAAAACCTATAAGAACTTCTGGTTGACCTAGAACTGTCAATTTAGGATAAAAGCAAAGTCTTACAACACGAGTATGAACTGTAAAGGCCCCTAAGGCCAACAGTGGCTCATCCAGCCCAAAAAAAAAACACGAGTAAAGGGAAAATTCCGATAAATAAAAAAGTTGAACATTAAGGTAAATTTTGTACTTACAAGTTTTCGGGAAAATCTAAATTTGCCTATATCTTTTTATCGTGTTGACTCAGGACTTTGATTTTTTTACACCTAATAAGGACTTTACACCATAATTGTGCGTACATGTGCAGGTCAGTAAAGATTATTACAAGCTCTCAAAGTCAAAGTCAAAGTCAGCTTGCAAAAAAATATTGAAATAAACTAGGTTTAACTAGTTAAGATGTTTCAATATAACCTGTTTATGAGACCATCGTAAGAAATTAATTATATAACAAACGCACAACCTCCAATGTATAAAGTAAAGAGGCGGTTTTTACAAATACCAAGTGACGAAAACAATATAAATCAAACATGGGATATTGAACGTGTCGTATCCCAGGAAAATTTTCTGTTATTCACGTCGAGACAGCCGTCTAACATAATTAAAATAGTGGTCGTGGACAAGTTCAATCCATAAATGGTCACAGGAGTCATAGAGGGCTGGCGCCTTCCACGTGCATTCCTCCAATATCTCGTATTGCGGTAATTACTGCGGCGGCCGGACTTTGTCGCAACTTATAATAATTGTTATCACGATAAATCAAGAAGTACTCGTAACATAGCATAGTTGTAATAAAAATTAAGCGGCAACTTAGTAAAAGGCGATGGTTGTTGTATATCGCTGACTAATAATAATAACTTTATTGCTAATAAGAATCGCTATTCAAGAAATTCTTAACTAGCTACTAACTTGCTTGTGTATGGTGGGGCTACACAAGAGTTCACTGCTCAGTTCCACTTCCAGCATAATCAATACGAGCGGAACAGTAGACAGTAGACACGCCAATCAATTAGGAATTACTTGCTACTACTAAACTTAAACTGCGTAACCAATTAACTTTTAATTTTTAGTGTTATTCTCTGCATTTAAGATGAAATTAAATATGTATAGGGGAATAGTCGCAAATATTCGCATTGCTATAATGGTAAAAAACTAATTTTTGCAGATAAATTAGGAACCTAAGTTACTATTTACTTGCCTAAATCATTAGTTAGTGTCTTAAAAATGTGCATTGTACAGAACGAGCCCTATTTCTAAACCTTAAGGGACTCCTGATGTTATTATAGTTACGTCAGACCATCTATTTTAATTATTTGAGTTCTGTTCTCACATTCTGACAGAATCAAATTTAATTTTTGTAAATATTACGTGATACAATTAGAAAGATCTCTTCACAATAAATTTCTTCATTATTAAAATATTATCACAAATAATATACCTGGAGGACCGAGCTTTGCTCGTTTTTTTTTTTTTTTGGTAAATCGTGTATTTTGGAAATTACATTTAGATACCAATTACTGAGTAATGAAATATGCATAATATTTTTCGATCTTACCGACTTAATAATAAGAAAATATGAACTGATGTTTTTCACAAAAGAAGGAACCTTTAAAAAAAAAGGGAAATAACAAAATAACAAATCGACAAAAAATTAAAAATAAAGAAAGCAATGATCTGGATTCGAAAAAAAAGTAAAAAAAAATGTGTAAATGATCGTGATGCGAACAACGGCCGTCTCTTTTGGGGCCGCCCGATAACCGACCGAGCTATTATGACATTTTCTCTTGCGGCTAAATTTACCGTCATATTCGAATTATATTTTTCATTCCCTAAAAACAGGAATAAAAGCTGGATCGATTTTTCGCCCCCGAATCTACGCACATACAAAATTTCATGAAAATCGATTTTACAAGAATTGCTCGTTTAAAGGATAAGATTTGGGACTCATTTTCATTAAGGAATAAAATTAAATTCTTCTCTTCGTAGTTCAAGAAGTTCCGTTTTTCTCTGCCAAGCTGTCTACTAAACATTTTAATGCAAATCAAAACCCTGGACATCGCAATCATTATTTCCAGCGCAGTTCCACGTACAACGATTATGTTCTTCGCTATATCGGTATAGTTTATTCACCTTACGCGAAAGACAATAGATGAGGAGGCTCCAATAACGACGTATTCAATACCCTCAGTCCGCAATTAGCATACAACTGTGGCCACGATGAATGGGCAACACTTTCGATTTCCATATCGGCGCCCGAGCCTAATTCTCTGGGTGCAGTTTCGCTCTTCGTGTCCGAATACGAATAGCGGAAAAAATGCTTTGGAACTTCTAAATACCTCATGCCACCACAAAGAATGGCAATGAGCCCGTTGTGGCGCACGTGTTTGGAGTAACCGGTGCCGACACGTCCCCGTCGGCCGTAAGCTGCCCAACGTACGGCCTTTATCGACGCCCGATGACGGATTTATGGGTGAACGAGACGAATCCGAAATCGTTGCGTAGCGAACTCTCGTATTGCGACATTGGACTGGCCGTGGGTAAATAGTCTGTCGATCCCCAAAAGACACTATTTCAGCAAAATCAATTACTATTGGAATATGAGAAAAAACACGTTTTTTCTACTTCGTTTACAACATGATAACGAATGGCATAATTGCATTTGAACTATTATATCGATGTGTAAATCGCGCAATCACTACTTTTAATTGCGAGTTACGAAGAAAATGTATATTATTCGTAAGAAAAAAATCAATTATATAAACCGCGGCTCACACGAGAGGCCTGTTGTTTCGTTGTGGCACCTTGCGGCTAATCGTTGCCACTTCACCTGGTTCTTCATCACAGAACCCATCCGTTATCAGATGGAGGCGCTAATTCCTTACATATTGCAGCATTAATCCGCCGTCGACCGGCTCGCGATTAATGGTAGCACATTTCGCAACGTCCCAAGCGGTTGCTCGCGGTGCATTCTGACCATGGGAATGACTGTTCCAATTGAACGAGGCTGCTCGGCAGCTTCTCCTCGAGATGTTATCTCGTATATGCGTTCTGGTTAGGGATTCGTTGTGGACGCTAATCGCTGCGGATTTATAATACACACAAAATACTAGAGGACACCGTCAAGTAATCGTATCGAGTACTGATACTGTTGTAAATGATCGTAAACGCTGCAATTCCTTCTGAGGGTAGCGTTTTCTGTAAATTGAAATTCTAATGCGCCTCGATCTGATAACGTCCTCAATAGTACTCCAGTTGCATACTTGCCCGTATCGTAATTCAATACACACCCTAGGCATGCCCTTGTCAGAACAAACGACTTTTTTCGAACAGAAAAAAATTGCCATCTTCGTATATTTGTCTCTTGTTAGCGTTTCGTTATTCTCAAACCTTTCCCGAGTAATTACTTAGAGGAATGCACCTGATAGATGCGCCTAAAACGCGATGCTAATTCATCCATTCCGCTTCGAATTAAAAAGTGCAGCCGTTTTAATTATTCGTCCACGCGGCCGGGGCGATGCGCCGTGCTAATGTATTTCTGTCGTTAATATAATTTGCCATTTCTATTGAGCGAATGTTCATCATAACATCGTTAATGGAACATGTTCCGCTATAAAGGAGCGTCTGGATGCGGAATGAGTCTGCCGTCCTCCGCATTGGGCTGCTGAATCGCTCTCTGCCGTGAAGCGACTCTCGCTCCAATTCCCGCCACTCCATTGTGAGTCTTACGGACGCCGTGCAAGAATCAAAATTCCACAAGCGACAGTCCACTTGCGACTTACGGCTGCCGAAAGGCGGACAGTTAAACGCACAGTTTACTCCGTAAGAATATAATTAGTGGGTGGAGTTGAATCAAAACGGTTGTTGTAGTGGCTCCCGGCTTACGGGCCGGCTTACAATAAATTGCGCCGCGGCCTCCGCTGGAACGATGGGCGTCGAGGCCCCAGGTTCCGTGCTAGGTTAACTAAAACCACTGCCGATTAATCAGTTCACATCATTGAGAATACCATATAACTAGAGACGCTTTTTACGCGGCGACGGACCGCGGGCCTTTTTTGCACTCTCGCAATGATCCAGCCAATCGGGTATAATTACTTCACGCTCAACTTGCTAACGATTCCGCTATTGAATATTAGCGATACAGCAATCCCTAATTAAGTTGGAGCCGCTTTAAATACGAATGTTTATTTATTTATGTACATTTTTGTTTTTATAATTTAATTAGTTCGTGTTAATTGTAATTTACAACATCAATTCGTTGTAAATCCGTTGTATTGACGTAAGGACCAACGGAAGACAAACCGCTTAAAATCATCATTTGCAACAAGGCCCTTTTGTAAAATGTCATTATTATATGTAATACCATTCTCCGGTTTTGTATTAATCAAACATTTTTTACTAATGTTCGCCGAAGGAATATTAATGAAATCCATTATCGTCGATATAGATGTCGACTTTAATTAAATTATTGTTTCAATCCATAACATGCTACTAATTTAATCGGTGCAATAAATCGTTCTATCGGTGCCGCATCGTCACAATTGAACTAACTTAAATTTATTAATATATTCAGCAAAAAGCGAAACGGTGCCGTCGATGGCCACTGATAGATCTCAACCAAGAATTCTCTGATCCCGTCAGCTGAAATACACGTATTCACACTGTTTGCAATGTTTTAAAATGCATGTTTCACTAGTATGCCAATGAGACAACTTAATCCATGCAGCCAACTTAATGCATCCAACTTAATGCATCCAGATAAGAAAAATACATTCTATAATTTATGGCACCAAATTTGGACTTGCAAATGATTATTCTGTATAAACTAAGGTTTAAATAATGTTTTATTTATAACTGAATAATTTAGACAGACAAACAGTCAAAAATAAAAATTAAATCGACAATAGCTTTATTAAATTAACCTTGTTTGCTTAAACATTATATAGTTATGTATGTAAAAATAATGGAAAAACTAAAATCAATATCCTAGATCTGAAAGATGACGTCATTTCTTGTCTAGTTAGACAATTCGATCGATATTACTCTGTCTCAAAGATTGTTTTATGCCACTAAGTGTTTATAACTCGGGCAGTGTAAAATTTGTCTTATGTAAACGATTACTAATCCGATTAATTATTTTGGTGCAATAAGTTGCTTGAGTTAAGACGCTTTTAAGGTTCTTTTAAACTCCAGCGTGCCGCTCTCATCATCAGCAGTTCACGAAGAAGACGAAATCGATATATCTGTCGTCATTAAGCAGGATTCTATAAGAAGAATAATTAGGCTGTTTAATAGAATCTTGATTAGTGCGAGACATCATATTAATTTTCGTTTAAGTCTAGTAATTAAGCGATGATTACGTGTTAATGAAGTGATATTATGGATTTTAAATGTCAGTAAGACACAGTGATAGACGGAAAATAAAATAATTGAAAAAATTAATTGAATAGCCGGAGCCCTAAATGTATTATGAACCGAACAGTGCGAGATGGATCCTTCACCGCCCACGCACAATAATGGCGCGACACGGACCCCAATATAAATCTGCTACCGGCTGCAAACCTGCCCGCAATTATAGTCATTATTGCTTTGAATATAAGCGACGTTATTAATTGCGATTCCGCTCGGCGCACGTAAGCCGCCGCTCCATTGTCATAATTTTCGTGGACGCTCCCGAGCAAACCGCCGTGGCCCGTGTCGATTATTATAATCATTTTCTTGTTCGGGCTAACTTTCTTGCGTCGGTTCATAATTGCGATAAGCGCGGCGATAGGGAATTTAACTCTATAAACGTAACTCACATTCCACATAACATATAATAATGTTTAGGAATTTAAAAAGACGCGATACGCTACTTTATGATTGTGAGGTATGTATTTTTTGTATTGTCATTTTTGACTCGATGTAAATAAAAAATCTTTTGAGATTATATGTTATTACAAGATTGTGTCGGTCTTCAGTATTATATTAAATATCAACAAAGCTTAACGATTCCGACAACATCCATGTTCCACACCGATTAAACTGTGAAATTTTGTGCCGCTTCATTTTGGTTGAACGCCTTATATATTTTTTAATTCGATGCTCCCAGACACTTGACAAGTAATAAAAATTCATTTGCCTCGTCCAAGGAACAAGAATACACGTTTCCTGTCAATACAACAGACTTTTAAATAGTAATCGATTCTAGTATCCAACTTGTCAACGTCCAATGAACATCACTAGCAAATGACAAAGGCATGCCACTTTGACACTGCCCATCCCGGAATGACATAATAATGGAACTTAATGTGCAATTATTTACTCCATAGCAGTTATTATTCAAACAGTAAAAGTTCTCCAAAATCATTTCCACATCGAACATCCGGATTTAGGATTGCGAATTTAAATCTCCATGGCATGTACCTGCCAATGAGTCTCTGAGCCGTTTTTTTACACTTCCTGTACGCGCAAATATCTATACTTTACCAAATATACAGTGAATGACCAACTGTCAAATATGCGACTATAAAACTTTAGTAAAATCGGAAAGTTTAACTAAAATAGCACTAACTAACCGTTATCACCCCTTGGGGGAAGAACGTGACGGCTCATTCTGCTTCTCCAAATGCTATTTTGAGTTAATAAAATATGCGCGGGTGGCTAGAGCTTTACACGTGGCAGTTGTGTGAGCAGCACCGGTAGCAATTGCTGCCGGTCTCTATGGGCAGAACCAGTTAGGTGCTGGCGGACACCTAGCCGGTTTCCGGCATATCTAGAGACGCCATCGGAGGCGTCACCTGTGAGACCACCTGCCGGCTGAAGGGCGTAAAAACAAGCGCCCACTCTCGCCATCTACGTAGCTGCCTGTACATAGCGGATTACATAATGACATTGTCTTTTATGTATCATTACATTGCTGACAATGCATGTGCATCAGTGTATTTTACACACGGTCCTCGTGATGTTATAAAATAGCATTAAGTATCTCCATAACATGCATTTATGTGAAATCATTATGAAAATTATACACAAGTTGTATGTCAAAAAATGAGTTACATATGTAAGCAATGTTCGCTGAAATATTTCTTTATGTTTAGTTTGAATTTATAGCCCCTGCATTTATTCAAATGCGTAGGTTTTTCTATGATTGTTTGTTTACACTAACTTTGACTTTTAATTTATCTTGCTTCTAGATGCTCGTCAAGATGTTAAAAAATGTATATGTATGCCCATCACTACAAATACCGTCTAATGTTAAATTGATTAAGCCTTTTCCAAGACAGTTTCTTGCAATGCATCGAATCTGCCTCGAAATTTCTGAATTCTTCTTGAAAACACGAAGTAATAAACGAATAATTAATACTAATAACTACTTAGTTTCAACATTTTTTCACAATGTCACAATGTTATCTCGTCGCATACTAAGCAAGTTTTGTAATGTTCTTCTTTATTTCGAGTCAAAATTTTTTTCACGCAATATTCGTCCAGTGGTGGGGATCGAACCCAGTCCCTCTGGCACAACATACCAGTCCACTATCCACTACGCCAAAAGAGTCATCCTAAATCGTAATTATTACTCCTAGATACTAATAAACTTACACTAATATAACTTTATTGGCTCAATGACCCAAAGTGTGTCGTAGGACTTATAACACCGAGTTCAATAGAATGGAATAGAATAGAATATGATTGCGGGTTACCATCGGCTATGGATCCTGCAATTTATTAAACATAGATCAGCACTGAAATATCTCATATTTAATTGGAATTGCCCTGACAACCCTTGAGGTATTGCAGAAAAGTTGGCAATATTAAAAAGGAGGGCCCCGTTTACTTCACTTACCAGATGCAACGCAAAAGTGTAATAAATACTTCCACTTCACTTCTTCTCACTTCTGATATTCTTTGTGGCCGTGGTACTTCTCCGACGAGCCTCCCTATTCCTGCAGCAGCTCCTGCTGCGGGAGGAATAGGGAGGAGTGGCTGACTTCGTCACAGTATGATTTTTTATTTGTTCTGCCACTCATAACTACTTCATAGAATGAACTTATAGATAGGTCTTTTTTATGGAGAAAAGGGGCAAACGAGAAGAAGGCTCACTTGATGGTAAGTGAATACCGCCGCCCATGAACACTTACAAGACCCGAGGGCTCACAAACGAGTTGCCGGAAGGAAATAGCCTATTCCTATTTTAGAGGCATGTAAACTAAAAGTATTTGGCACATTTTAGATTTGCCTGGCGCAACTCAGTCGGCGCACTACCCAAAGGACGCAATTTCGAATTCAGGTAGCGCCAAAAAATCTTTCGACAATATTTCGGTGAAACTCACATTAAAACACTGACCATGGATATTTGCAACACCCGCAAATGCGTTGCCACCTTTTTATAAAGTGATCTCTAGCTACCTCACTCACCAAATGAAATGCAGAAGTATTACACTTTCTGTATAAAAGTTACAGTTGTCAAAGAAAGGAGAAAAGTGAATCTATACTCTATCGATGATCGGTGATCGCCTATCGACATTGATAGGCATTAGAAAGAGGGGCGGAATGGCGATTAGCGCGCCCTCGCCGAAATACGATTGCAAATTGCAGTGGCCGTCATCAGTAAAACATTTTACACAGCACATGTAAATTCAGTAGTGTCAGCTCATTTAAATAATGTTAAACAATTGGATTCTGTTTAATGTTTTAAACAGATTTAAGTCTAGTTGTAGTTCTCTTTCCTTTCTCTACCCCAGATTATGGTGGGATAAGCGTTCTTTTTATATTTCGGCTAGCTCTGTTTCTTGATATCTTTAACGAAACAATAGCATTCGTTTCTGTTTTTCATCCAAAATATATATATTTTCTTAATTCTTCTTGACTACGATGCCGTTCATGAAGTAATTAACAACTCTTATAGTTATTAAGAAATTTGGACGACGATTTAGATATGATGTAATCTGATCAATTATAAACGCTTCTTCTTATTTTTTTTCTTATTGGTCTTATTTATATAAGTCTATTCGGTAATTATTTTATGGGTTTTTGGATTTCGCTTTAATAATCCTAAACTATTGTTTCGTATTGGCTATATTAATAAACATATAAAAAGCTCTCTAGGCCGCGTTTGGTATTGTTTTGTAATAAGATTTTTATTAATGAAAAAACAAAACGAACTTTTAAATATATCACTTACTACACATTTTCTATTCGATTTTGGCGAGTCTTTCGATTACCTCTAAAGTCCAAGGTCCATTACTAATCAAATGAATATAAAACCATAACTATGTTAATAAATGATGAAGTTCTGAGAAACAAATATAAATATTCTACCAAATTAAGGAGCTCCTCCTTTTTTCAAGTTGGTTGAAAATGAAAGATGCAATGTATCGTAAAACTTTATCTTAATGTTAAAGACTTGGAACCTTTTTAATTAATTATCACACAAATATTTATTGCTTGGAAATGAAATAGAAATTATTTTTACAAGTCTTTAATGATTCACATAAGTTATTGGGCATAGTAGGTACTCTGCGGTGGGTAGTTCACCTGCCGCGCTGCCACCGAATAACCACCCCATAATATACACAAATTAATCGTCCCAAATAAACTCCCGCAGCGCGACTGTTACACGCCAATTTCTAAACGGCAATTATTATAAACGCCGTGCGATATTTTAACGCAACATGACGCTTTCTTTACCAAAAATAAAACAAAATAAAACATTATTAAGCCCAATGTTATTATATAGAAATACGATATATAAAAACATCATTCATTAGACCCAGTATATTTGTCTACATTAATATTAATGACAAAATCTTGTTGTTGGTATTTGATTTTAAATAGTCTTTCATATTTTAAATCTAAAACTCTCAATCTTTAACTGACTAATAAAAGCTCCTCTTTTAAAATAAAATATTAATAATAGTTGTAAATCTCATTATTTGAAGATTATGGCGGAAGAAACAATGGAAAAGGTGATATATTTGACAGTTGCTATGTGAGTAATGTAATTTTAATGATAAAGTTTTATGCGTGCGATATTTAAGTAACAACATTAGATTAAACTTAATGTTTCCCAAATGTTGCTATGGAAAATGAAACTTGTCTAATAGTCGAGTGAAGCCAGCAAGTGTGGCTAGTAAACTACATATTTTAAATATTTTTGATGACAAATGACCTTGCCATATACCCTTCTTCAAAAATTAGAAAGAAACAGCTAAAAAAGGTAGCACTTTTACGGTGGTTGGGCCACGCAGCAGCCTCGGCTGTTGTACGAATGGGCAGGCCCGTCCGGGTAAGTACCATAGACATAGACATAGACATAAACTTTATTTTGACAACCAACAAACAGCACAAAAGATTCAAAAAAAATAAATAAATGACATGAACATAACATATTGATAAATAAAAAAATAACATCGTTTCAACAAAAAAAAAGCAAGTTAAAAAAAAAGGAAAACAAAATAAGTACACAAAGTTACAAATATAAACAATTATTAATAAAGAAACAAAAAGACATATAGAAACCTTTGAAGGAAAAAAAAATGCATAGTGTATATGTAATAAGGAATGAATTGTGCTGTGAGTTTATGTCAAAAATGGTCACCACGACCACACAGAACACCAGCGTAAAGTGGAAGTATGACAAATACTTTCGCGTTTCGTCTGGTGAGTGAGGTAGCCCGAGCCTAATTTTCAAAAGGTTGTCAACGCACCTGTAACCCTCGGGTGTAGCAGATGTCCATGGCTGGCGGTATCCACTTACCATCAGGTGAACCATCTGCTCGTTTGGCAACTTTTCACATAAAATGAAAAAAATACTAACGACAAAATATATTAGAACCCTAGATTGGCATACTGTGCACATATTGCAGATCTACGCTTAGCTAGCTGCTGCCCGCGACTACATCTGCGTAGAATAGGCTGAAGGCGTAAGATTCAGACAGAAAGACAGATATACATGAAATATGTATATAAATTAAAGCCTATGTCTTATTCTGATGTATAAGCTATATTATTGTAAAGTTTCATTAAAATCCACTCAGTAGTATTTGCGTGAAAGAGTAACAAACATCCATCCATACATACAAACTTTCGCCTTTATAACATTAGTAAGGATACTACCCACCTACATATAATGCACTATGGTGATTATGAAATATAATCGGTTATGAACGTACTAACGATACCGTTGCTAGAACTTTAGGTAAGAAACATGACAAACAAAGGTCGGTCAATCGTTGTTAGAATGCAACTGTACGGGATGCCGACCGGCGCGGGAATACCCTTTTATGGCACGCCTCGGCGCCATACCGTGTACATCACTCAGAGGCACCGACGCTGCTTCCTGCATCCCACCCACGTTACGTCATACCAAACAAGAGCACTAGGAACCCCATAACATTCGCCATGGTTTACCTTAAAGTTACCAAAACTTTCTCCCTAGAAACAATAGTTTTTAATTTTATAAGCTATTATTCACCTGCACATTCAAATAAATTTCAAGTATTTAATTGAACATACGATATATAATTGTATAAATATTTGTGTCTCCCAGAACTTTAATACAGCTTATATGACCGCCAGTCAAATAATGTGATAAAATCTTTCAATTAAAGTTTACCACTTTCAGACATCCGAAATATTTGGAATTCAAACCACATGGACCCGAGAATAATACAATAATTACAAGACTATAGAGCTATAGACGCGATATCTTCTCTATGGTATATCAGGACGCCACAATTATCCTGTTTTATATCACAAACACTTAGTAGTTCTAATTCAATTGATAAATAACGTACAATACTGTAGTAGTTGAACAGAATTATACTTTTAGTTACTTTTACAGTTTAATTATAGAAGTAGCGCTTCTTGAAAGTGATAAAATGTTATCTTTTATCACTTCCTTAAAACTGAATGTGGAAAAAATGCGACTTCCTTAACAATTGTTAATCAATTTGCTTAGTAAATGGAATACTTGCTTCCTTTAAAGGTTCGATGTCAAAGAACGTTCCAAAGGACGTTCTTCCTCCACGCAACTTAAATTAGCACCTAACTCACCATTTCTTTTTAACCCGACGGCCGGGGGCGAATCGATCACGCCCGCGGCCGTTGCCTTCCAATAATTACACAATTAAAAAAATAATATTCGCGACTGGTGATCTCGCAGCGCGGCCCCTTTTTTGTTCATTATTTATGGTCTCAATTAGAGGCCGGCAACGCCCGCCGCGACACCGACGTTGTTCGCGAAATGTCGAAGCCACAGAGTCCTGGGTTTCAATGCTAAATGCTCAAAGTCAATTGTGGAGACTTTGTAACATAGGAACATACTTCATGGAAATTTTCAAGTGTACAGCAGTAGGTATAGTGATGAGGTCCTTAGAGGTCCCACTTACCGTCATTGCATAAACCTAATAGATGGAGAAATCTCATGATCTAAGGTCGTAGGTCGCAAACGACTGTCAATTACTTAAACTCGCAATGTTGCAAAATGTTCTTAGAAGAGCTATCCTACGACTTTTACTGTTTGCAATGAGCTACGTCCCTATCGGCATCTCTATGCTATAAAATGAGCTAACAAACTTAATAATACCAAAGCTAAACATAAAAAATACATATTATGAGGACTCTGTGAGTTACAGAAATTACATTATTCACTCGATGGGAGCTCCCTTGGAAAATAAGGTACACCAAAGAAAGATGTTTAGACATTATGCGCACTATATTATACGCTATATTTATTTCTTAATGAGGACTCTTCTAAAATTCCTCTGACCTTTATTGCCTCTAGCTAACAACCTCTAGGAAACAAACATAATAGATCCGTATTTTTTATCGCTTTCCATTCATTGGACAGGCTGTAATAGGACAAAATCATTGATTACACGAGCTGATTACACGACAGGCCGACTACCGCAGTTTAACGAGGCCAGAGTACTTTGAGACCAGATTCTGGTACAATCGGTTTTGATCAATTAATTCAGCCTATTCGGTTGTTATGATTTACAAGGAGCTCACTCGGGCGGCTGCCAATCGGGACATGGCAGAGCGCTCTTTAATTTATCGCCTATGACTTTGGTTGATATATACATATATGAATTAGTTTGTGAGCGAAGAAGTGTTTTTTTCTTGAATAATGTATGATAGAACTAATGAAACGAAATAGTATGTGCAATTTTGTTACATAGCATCAACATCAAATTCGTCAAACGTGATATGACCAGCGCAGTCCGTATTCGCGTAAGTCTTCCAAAAAAAAGCAGTTTACGGCGCACAGAGGAGGCGGAACGCGGAAAAATGCGAATGCGCGTGCTCTCAGGCGGCGACGTGATCCGTTGGGGGCATAAAAAGTCCAATTTGCATGTGGCATGTCTGCGCGGATGGCGCCAGCGGTACGGCAGATGCGCGATAGGGACGTGACCGCGCTGCGACGCCGCCCCGAGAGGCCCCGCTCGCTCAGGGACCAGTGGTCGACCTGACTGCAGCGCTACTTCTAGCAGCGCTTGGAGCTTCAGCACCCATCCATTCATCCCCCGCGGAAGCTTAAAACACAGCTAAAAGAGGTGAAGACAACCAAAGAGAAGACGGAGGAACAGTGGTTGTCGAGGAAATAGTAGACATAATAATAGATTTGACTGCGTCTGGTTCACACGATACCGATAGAGTGACTGACATGACTTTCAAAGGAGGGATAATTTGCATACACTCAAACAAATGCTGTTATGGTGTGCATGTGGGCAGACTCCATAGGAACGATAGAGAACGGCGTGAACTCTCTGCCAGCGCTAAAAAAACTCTAAAGTGCAAAGATTATAGAAAGTAAAAATCTTTGATTCCTGTAATTGTAAGAAAAAGTGACATTGAAACATTATATTTGAACCGACAACATACATTAAAACATTAATACGAACGAGTTTTTGATAAATTAAATTGCACATCAGATTTAAAATGGTGCTGATCGAAATTTTACGCCCATTTATTTTGAGTCATCAATTTCTTTTATATTTTATTTTCTTAAAACAAAACGGAGTGATCAAAGGTAAAAAACAAATTAGTTCTGAAATAACTTCTTACCATTGTTAAATACAACGGGACAACGGACTTATGTATTTTGATTGAAACACATTAGGACAGTGTTAGCCGTGTAATAAGCGGGTGGACGCGTTTGATTAAGGAAGCTGTTGAGGTTAGTTTATGAGCGCGATCGTCGTTATCATTGATTTGTGTGCCTAGTTGCGCGTTCACCGCTAGCAGGCCCTGTCGCGTCACGATATCATCTCTGCCGGCAGCGACGCCCGGAATGCCAAGGAGCCACACGTCCTCCTCACTTGCTACTCTTCGCGACGCTCTCTCCTACTTCGCGCTTCGGCGATCGCTGCGTTGGATCACTCGACTGAGTGCGATGGCATTTTAACTGGTACTCATCCGCTGCTTCTTGTCGAAATAAAATGTTATAGTCCAAGTAATGATTAACATTTTATCATGTTAATGTGAACTTTTTTATTTAGTAACACAACATTATCCTATCCCAAACTAAGCAAAGCTTGTACTGGATACTAGATTACAGTTAAACTTGCTTAAATATACTTTCCTTTTTGTAAATAAAAAAATACATGTTATAGATGTGTAAACACCCAGAAACTAAAAAAACCTTAAATTCACCACACAATATTTTTCCAGTAGTGGGGATCGAACCCACACCCTCTGGCGCAAGAGACAAAGTCATTATCGACTACACCAATTGGGTCGTGAATCGGATGAAGTGAATACTCGATGCTCAGCTATCGGCTTCGGCATCGCGGAGGTCGTGGTTTCGATTACTACACGGGACAAGCATTTGTATGACCCACACATAATAATTCTTCCGGATTTAAGTGTTTGTATAAGTGATTTATAATATTTTAATAAGTGTTTTTAACCAAAAGGGTCGACGTCAAACAGGCGGCCGCTCGTAAGAAAATCTAGCCAATACCAGTCATAACATTTGGGCAGCATGAGCCCATGCGTGGCCCTACCCACAGCGGAGGGCCCAAACCCGTGGGTTCTGGCTAACCCACCGATTCTGCGCCAGATGAAGCTTTAATAGTCTCGGGACTGAAAGCAAAAACATCAGTTAATACGAGAATACAAGAACATTTGGGCACCTATTATGAGGGCAGGTGTATTTTTATGAATCGAATACAATTTGAATCAATACAGAGAAACTATTAAAAATTAATTACTTTATATAAACATATTAGAATACAGTTAGCAAAATATCAATAGTGTAAACATACTATGCAAAACTGAAATATGATATATCTAAATTGTCAATGCTTCGTTTTCACATTAAAACTATAATATTCTTTAAACTTTGACTACGTTCTAATAATGATGTTCACTATCATCACCGTTTTATGTTCACCTTCGAGACGAGAGCCTATACCTTCCTCAAAGGCTGGCGACGCATTCTAACTCCTCAAAGTAACTCCTCTGGTGTTGCGAGTGTCCAAGTGCGGCGGAGTACAATTACCATCAGGTGATTTATTAAGTTTTACAGCTTTTTAAACGAAATGGCATTGCACCGTTATATTAAGCAGTAATTGTCACATAAGTTACTAAGGTCGCGTGTAAGACGTGTAAAATTCCCAAAATCGAAGGAATCTCAAACCAATGTAATATATCTATAAATATATAAATTAAATATATACAATAAAATATATCGATAGTTTTTAATTACAGTGACCAACAACGTCCATTTTTACTACACGACTTGTAAATACGATTCCGGCTCCATCGAGGCAAAAGTGAATTAATCTCTTACTAAACTGGTGCTTTACATCTACGACAGAATCACCGCATACCTAAGATGGCGATCAAATAATGGTGTACTGTTGGCAAAATCGGGCGGACGTTGGCGGGTGAGAACGGACACTCGAGTACAGTTAGCAACGCTGTGCGTGGCTCATTCCGCAAAGATAGCATCTAGGTAGGGAGCTGGCGCTGGCGGGACGTTCGCACGTAGGCCAGGCCGGCGAGTGGCCGCCCGCCGCTCGCCAACTGAATCCCAATCACCGCTCTGGGCAATAACTCGTCGCGCGCTGCCACGCGGAATTCGAAAGCAGCGTCACACTTACCACTCCTCGCCACTCGAAGGTCGCCGTCGCCGCTGGTCCACTATTTCTGGACGCGTCGCCTGCTCAACGTGCAGGAATGCCCAACGAGTCGCTTTGTTGTTGCCTTCTCCTCGATAATGCTTTCTGTCACGACCCTTTTATACTGTTGGCGTGTATTGTCATCGTGATGTTATAACCAATTATATTATATACAAATACGAGGTGGATATGCCGCTATCGCTCTGAAACTAGCACACACAGAAATTGATTAGTCTGCTATGTCTTTCAGTATCAATTACGTTCTATATCATCTGTCATATTCACTTATTTATTTCATGTAATGATGAAAAATGGATCAAGTTTTAAAAGCCGCGTAGTGGGGTTTATTATGCGTTATCTATATTAAAACGTAATTTTGTCCTATAAAACAATAAGTACTGGCAATGTAATGTCAAAATAAAAATTGAGATACTCGATGAAGCTCAATTTTGTTGTTGGCACAATTCAGACCATACCGTTAAGCAAATACGGCTTCTAAGTTAACCATTATTTATTTTATTTTATATACAGAATTCATTTGGATTGAAGGACCCGAACATCGCAATAGGGTACATGATACAAAAGTCTGTAATTGTTTAAATAGCGACCCGCTCGTTTATCATATAGATATATTTGATATCAAATGAAAAACATAACCAAATCATAATTACTAAGTTAAAATTGACGCCACCAATTAAATTTACAACGCACTCATGGTCCCCTGAGCAAGAGTGCATTATAAATTACCCTACATTTTATATGTTCAATTGCTCAAAATTTTACTCCACTTTACTTTTTTCCACTATAATATAAAATTGTAGACTGAATGAACGTAACCTGTCAGTTATAAATAAATAAAATTTGAACCACGGATTAGTAAAATAAGGCTATTTTACTTATCCGTCGGTTGAACTTAATTTACCTTAGTTTATAAAAAATGTTTTAATATCGTGTACTGTATTCTGCAACAAAGTAAAAAGTTCAATTATTTAAAAAAAAATAACTTAAAACTATGGGCAGAAATGAATTTTGAATGCAACGTAATGACGGATGTCCTTAAGGTATAGAAAGCTTTCATTTTTATTGTCGGTTACGTTTTTCTATCGCTTAAAAACATTTTTATACGAATAATGAGCGTGCCGCTTATTTAAACAGTTAAATAAGATTAATTATTGATTTGTCGGATTAGACAAATGCTTTCATGTTTTTCTGAAGTCCTTAAATGCCAATATTATGAATCAGTTTTGGATCTGTTGATTTTTTAGTTTTCCTCGTTGCATTCTGTAGTCATTATTCACAATAATTAAGCTCCCGTATACTCGTTTGCTACCAAGCAATGAGCAATACTTTACTTTTATTGTAAATCAATGTTGTACCCGGACGTCTAGTGGATATAGGTATTGTACACCTTACAAAACAGGTCCTTCCGTAAAAATATGCCTACTCGGCTTAGCAGAAGCTCAGCGGGAAGTAAAAGCATTCATATTTCTGAACTTTTTCCGGATAGTGAATAACCGGAGGCGAGTAACGCCCGATTCTTATATTCACAAAACGAGTCGTTTTCCTTACGAGTCGATACATAACACCTACTGATAGTTAGTTATTACTGATCCTATAATCTACGAGTCTTAAGGAAAGTTACGAAGGTATGTAGCTAATGAGTACTATGGTAGTCTGCGGTGTTTTTATTATATAGTAGTAGGTAGGCAGCCGGTAGGCAGCGGTAGGCAGCCGGTAGGCAGCGGTAGGCAGCGGTAGGCAGCCGTCCTCACTTATGATGCGCCTCTAATCAGTTACTTTTGATTTGCATAAAAGAAAATGAAATCAAAAAAAGTAAAAAAGTAAAGTAACAGCCTATACATGTCCCACTGCTGGGCAAAGGCCTCCTCTATACAGAGGGTATCAGGGCGTAGTCCACCACGCGGCCCCACTGCGGTTTGGCGGACTTCACATATCTTCGAAATATATTTTTTTGTTATTATTTCGAAAATATGCAGGTTTCCTCACGATGTTTTCCTTCACCGCGGAGCACGTGATAAGTCAGCACTTAAAGTTAAAAACTTCATTTGTGCCGGCACCGGGGATCGAACTCAGGTTGCTCGAGTATATTGAATTAAAGGCGAGCGCCCGGACACTGAGCTATCACGGCTCAAATCAAAAAACACATGCCCAAACCATACACAAGTACAAGTAAATGTTTAATAAATATTCACTGTTTAATTTTGCGAAATTTTATACAAATACCCGATAGACTTTAAATAAATTCCAAGTACTTATTTTAGATAATTTTATAAAATTGATATAATTTTTGTGTTAATGGAATAAACCGTCCATATTTTGATATCGATCGTTTGGGGGAAAAGACAACTTTTGGCGATATTTTAAGGGGTTAAGTTTAGCTAGAAACTCTGCTAAATTTGGCTGCTTAACTACTAGAATGCTATAGCGCTAGGTTTTGTAACAGTTTTAACATGCGCAGTAACAGTTGATGTGCATTTGTCACTTTATACGCAAACCAAGTGATAAAATACTGTTTTCCAATTTGCTCTCATTCAAACGATGATAGCGCATGCTCTATCAATCAATAAATATAGCATGTTCTCGAGTAACAAAACGTTACGGCCATAATATTGAGACAATAGTAAACATTAGTATTGTTCGACAATGATATTTGAAAAACAATCATCTTACTATGGACACGAGTGTCACACGACAAGAAGTTCGTTAGTACGCCAGACCGCCGTTAGATGTCGCGCATGAGAATGGTATCAAACATTGACGCGGGACAGTTTTTGTTGGCCACCTGGGGTCCGCATTAGCATTGCATTATGTGGAAATGCGAGGCGACACGGGCCGGCAGTTAGGGGCTCCGGCCGCGCAAAAAAACAGATGCGATTGATAAAGAAGGCAAATTAATGAATTATTTACGGTGCGCATGCGCGCGCGCCGATCGGCCGCCATCTTGCGAAGCTATGCGAGACATCGCGTTACGACATTTTTACGCAAAGTTTATCGCTGCGTTCTCCTCGCCCGGCCCGCAGCCGGCTTGAATGAAACTTTTTACGGCCGCGATATAGGCACCATTCGACGTGAATACTTTCGTAAGCCTCCATTTGACTTTTACTGGTATGTACAAAATGTATGTACACGGGCAACACTTTATACAATTTGGGAAGTAAACAAGTGTACGATAATCTTTTGTTGTGCTGAAATGGAACAAAGTATATCACCTTTTTATGAGTATTTCGAAATGCAGGGCGAGTAATGAATCGCTATT